TTCCTTCATACTCAGCATCTATGTGCAAACAAATTTCCCTTCCTTGCCCTTTTAGAGATGTTTACACATGGGTATGAACAGATCAAATAAACAGGAACTTAGGTTAATTTAATAGAAAAAATAAAATATGGAATAACATTGTTTTGGGCGAGTATCAATTACAACCATTATGCTATATTTTACAAAAAAACAACTGAACATTTTACACATGTACAGTATTTTTCAGTAAAAGTGGATTTGGATTTAACAATGGATCACTAATTAAAGGTAAAAAGACAAAAGAAAACAGAAGATAGGACTTTTGTCTCTAGAAGGTTAGAGCATTTGTTAAGTCTCCAAACTTTGTACTATTCATTACATAGATCATTATGAATATATATATATATTTATACATAATATATAACATTAACTTAAACTTTGAAAGCATTATGTTCTAGTTAATAATATTCTGTAGATAAACGAGGCAGTAACACACTAGTCAATAAACCAGTATTTCCGTGAAGTGCGTCTGCATGGTCAGTGGGAAATGAACACACATTGGAGGACCCCCGAGGAACTCAGCTGTCATTGCATAGGGCAACTGCCTAAGGACACAGACATCATTTCAATCTTTCATAGTAAATTTGTGCTTCAAATTTTATGGGCTGGTTCAGTTCAATGAATTCATTTGCAGGCAAATCTGGTTCCATCATCTCTTGATTTTGCTTTAGGCTCTTGCCCACATTTGCTTATTAAAAGACTTTGCCTTTAAATATAAGACTTACATACTGTACTCAGAATTAACTTGCTTTCTTTGTATCAGATAGTTCTTTCTGCAGCTACAAAGCGGGAAATTGCTCAGCAAAATCAGATGATTTCCTGGTTATGTATGAATCAATCCTTACATGACTCAGTATCACCAGAATGCTGGGGGCCACTAAACTATTATTCTTCACACTGGGTTAAATGATTATTTCGATTTATAGGAATAAATATTGGAATCAAGGCTTTTTACTGCCTGGGTGATTGGACAAGGACCTTGGCATCCGCTCTCCAGCTCCTTCCCTGAATACTCCGTATTGCCATTCTTTTTCTCAGTTCTGAAGCCAGAGATACCCTGAAAGGGAGGCTCTCAGAAGCGGTCTGTGAGATGGCTGAGGCCTCCAAAGTATCACTAATGGGTCACCAATGGAGCTTTGATATAAAATATGAAGTAACTTAATATCTTCTATCCTCACTCTCACACACACACAAATTCAAAATCTGTAGAGACTCAGCCTCCCTCATATCTGACCACTGATTCTACACCAGTTCTGCATAATTTAGGCTACTTGATTTCAGGACGTGTTTAGGGAGTCACAGAAAAACAGTGAAGATACTTCCAGGGAACAGATGATCTTAATGACACCCACGAACAGGTATATCATAGTATAGTGACAGAGGGACAGAGGAAAGGGGTAAGAACCAGGAGGGTACAATCATGCCACTCATATTCCATTTCCAGTTTTATTTTCTTGAAATGACAAGATGAAAAAATTTACTAAGAAGCACCATTGAAAAAAATGTTGCTTGGCCTTTAGGACACAAGCTTAAATACTATTGAAATAACTTCTCTTTCTTAAAAAATACAGGACCTTTTAGAAACTTTTGATTCTAGGGAAAAAATTCCTGCATCATGCCTGAAATACTTCCCACCACAACAAATGGAATTGCTCATGGCCTTTGAAAAATGCTATGGTGATAAACTGTTGAGAGCACCAAGAGATTGTGCAGGGCTTATGAAATGAACACTCTGGATTTTGAGGGCGCTAGATGCTACAAAAATTTACACTCTGTTCATCACCAATTTGACTACGCAGAGCAACCCCATTTGGCCAGCGGTGTGCAAAATCAACCAATTCTACCAATTCTACAATGGAGAAGCCAGTAGCAGCAAGTCTATCTGATGAAACCCCATGGAGCCGACTAATCCATCAAGTGCGTATAATGCCCAGACCAGCACGTAATGCCTGGTGTGAATTACATGTGGAAAGGATCAATGTTCAACGGTGAAAAGCTAAGAGAAACGACACTGAGCACAATTCTGTGGGATGTTCTGAATGCCCTTAGGCATAGTTTTCTGCCATTTCCCCCACAACGGACTCAAGTATAAAAAAAAAATCAGTGATGCAAGAGCTTTCTGTTTTATTTTGATCTACGTCTGCTCTTGTGATGTTTTAGAATGGTATTTGAGAGGTGTCTCAGAGGGGGAAACAAGCAAGTAAATGTAAAAGGAAAAAAGAGGACCTTCAAAACCAGGGCAGGAAATCAAATCATTACTTTAACGTCAAATTTTGGCATCAAATGCTTTGGTCATACAATACTGTCTCTGTGGTTCTGGCTGTTTAGCACTAAACACCCAGTTATAAAAGGTAGGCTTGTTGTAGGTTTATTTTTTTTTTTTTCCATTTAAGTTCTGACAAAACAGTTCACCCTCTCCCTGCACAAATTTAAGAGAGAAAAAGAGAGCAAGAAAGAGAGAGGTGGCTTGCTTTTTTTTTGCTTGTTTTTTTTTCTTTTTAATAATAATATGGAGTTATCTATAAGTCTACAGAAACAAAGAAATCTAGGATGGCAGCTCAGCCTTGGAATGTACATGTTTTGCAGCAAAGTTGTTGGAGAACCTTCCGTTGGCACAGATTGTTCTTTTTCACAAGCATACAGAAGCCACCTTCGGCCCAGGACTCTTCCGTTGCTTTTCCGGGGAGTCAGCAAGAGAGAAGGGGAAGTTGAAGATGACAGCAACATGGCGCGCACACATGGAAGAAGGTTTTGATTGGTCAGAGAGGCAGATTGGGGATTGGAAGAGATCATTCGGGAGCAGTCAACAAGGAGGGAATTTGGTCCACCCAAAGTGATTTCAGTCAACAGCATTGTTTTTCAAGAAGAGATATTGCAGTCCAGCGGTAAATGTGATTGATATCCAGTTATAAAAGGGAAAAAAAGATTAGAAAAAGAATAAATTAGAAATCAACATTATAAAGCAAAGAAATTTTCTTTTTTTTTTAGAATTACCTAGAACAGACAGTATACAATCACTTATTTCAGTGGCTCCAAGACACTAAATTTAGCTGCATTACTTTAAGTACCACCAAAGGGGGAAATGTTTCTTATTAAAGGGAGACACAATATTTTTAAACCTATTAGACTTTTAATTCGATACTGATATATTTGTTTCAGTAAGTGTTCATGTTTTCGTTCTGCATTTGTTCAATATTCAAAAAGCTTAATATTTTGGAAGTTACTTTGAAATGCAGTTCAATCAAATGTATGTAGATTTATGTGTGTAACTCATGTGAGCACACATCTCTGCTAATGAGTCACAGATAATGATGATTCTGCCACTTAAATCTGCTGGCCAAAAGCACTTGTAAGCTGTGCCTGACCAGAGATATTAACATGTAAAAATGAATATGTCTTAGAATCACTGAAATGACAGTTGAAGAGAATAAAGTGCAATACTAATAATGTAATTGCCATGATTTGAAAGCCTGGTGAGTCATCAATAATCTCTTCGACTTGTGGTTTTCAACCACTGGTCCATGGACCACCAATGATCTACGGGCATAAAAAGGCTGGAAACCACTGCTAAGTGACCTGACAATGGACTGCTTCCAAGTGGATGGCTCTTTATACCTCATTCTGGCCCTCAAGTCTTTCATTCCCCTTTTATCACAGTGTCATCTGGGATAACTTACCCCACTGTATAGGACAAATAGTTAAAGTAGCACAAACCTGTTACCAACGGGCAAGGGTGAAAATCTCAAACCCCAGCTGATCTCCTGGGCACACCACTTAGAAATCCTTCTTGGTTTTTAAGTTACTACCAAAAAGTCCTACTCATAGTCAGAGACAGACGAGCCATGATTTAAAGTCAAGGTTTAAGTAGGGCTTGCTGCAAGTGGAAGGTGATCCTGTCCTGCCCTGGGGCTGCCTTCACCCTAATGCGCTCAGCCTGGAGTAGTGTGGTGAGAACTGACCCTGGCTAAGAAAACCTTGGAACAACAGTCTGAAAAGGGCAGGCCAGTCATCTACCGGAGAAACTGTGAAGATACAAAGTCCCCTATGATATTCCGTGGAGGGTAAATATAAGTGATGTATTTGCAATGATAGCATGCCTAGCCCTTATCTTTTTTTTGGGGGGGGGGGTGACAACCGGTGATGCACAGAGGTTACTCCTGGCTCATGCACTCAGGAATTACTCCTGGCGGTGCTTGGGGGACCATATGGGATGCTGGGAATCGAACCCGAGTCCGCCGCTTGCAAGGCAAATGCTCTACCTGCTGTGCTATCGCTCCAGCCCCAACTTAGCCCTTATCTTTCAAATGCCCACTACATATATGGAGAGTAACCAAATGAAGTCAGAGCAGAAATCACCTCGGATTTGTAGACAACAAAGGTGAGGCGTGTAGGGATGTGTCTCCATGGGGCCAGCAGCATTCTAACTCTTGAACCCACACTGTCCCCACTTCTGCACTTGTCTGGCCTCTTGTGACATTTCCAGAAGAGGAACCATTCAAAGGAAGGGGAGGAATAAACCCAGGGAGATTATCTTTTACTTACTGTTCCAGCCTTCTTTTTATTGTGTTTTGGTGGTGGGGGGCAAATCCAGCAATACTCAGGGCTTACTATTGGCTCTGCACTGAGGAATCATTCATGGCAGTACTCAGAGGACCATAATGGGAAGGTGGGGAATCAACCCAGGTAAGCTACATGCAAAACAAGTGCTCTATCCTTTGTACTATTTCTCCAGCCTGATTCCCCGCCCCCCACCCCCAGTTTTAATGTTCCTAATACATTCGAAGATTCTTAGAACAACATTTCAAAGCAATTTCATCCTATATCTTTGAGATAAGTCATCTGCATGAATACAAACCCAACTTTTAGCTATCAGATCTTAATGTAGAGTTATTATTTTATTTAGATACTAGGCCTTAAAGTAGAGTTTCACTGAGAAGATCCAAGTGAGAAGTTGTACTCACCATCTTTGCAGATGGTTCCCATCTGACACATTCCTAAGTCTAGGAGATACCCATTGGGACAGCTTGTACAATTCTTGAACCCTGGGCCATTGCATGTCAAACAGCTGCTGTCACATCTATGGGAAACATTTACAATTTATCATCTTTTCACATATCATACCAGAGAAAATGATATATTTACGATCAAACTCTGAATGCTTAAACTTAATACTCCTCTAGTAGATGACACAAAAATATTGTGACAATTGTCAAACTCTTTGGTTAATTGAAATTTTATTTCACTGATTTATTTTTTGGCCACACCTGCTAGAGTTCAGGGCTTCCTCTTGGCTCTGCTCAGGGATCACTCCTGGCGGGGCTTGCGGGTGGGTGCTGAGGATCAAACCCAGGTCAGCAGCGTGCAAGGCCAGTGCCTTACCTGCTGTCCTTTGTCTCTGGTCTGGTTGACTAATTTTATTTTACTTTATTTTAGTTTTGGTTTTGGGGCCACATTTGGCAGTGTGCTCAGGTCTTACTCCTGTCTCTGTGCCCAAGGATTATTCCTGGTGGGGCTTGGTGACCCATATGTAATGTCAGAGATCAAATCTGGGCCGATAACATGCAAGGCAAGTGCCCTACCTGCTATAGTATTTCTCTGGCCCTGATGAACCTTGTTAATTTTGTTTTTATTTATATATTTATTTATTTATCTATTTATTTGTTTATTTAAAGAACCATGATCTACAAGTTACTAGTAGTTGAGTTTTGGCCATACAATAATTTAACACCAATCCCTCTACCAGTGTCAAGTTCCCTCCACGAGTGTTCTCAGATTCCCTCCCCACCTAACCCTCATTTTAAAGGGGAGGTAGCATGATCTTGGAAGAGAAACTTTTAACTTTAAAGTTCTCATGAGGCTCCCAGATAGAAACATCAAATATGGGCGAAAACTCCAGGGTAAATGGATGTGTAGCTTTGGGTTGAAGCCTGATTGGATCATTACATGTTCAAGCCTTGGTTTATGAAAACCATGGAGGGGGCCCCATCACCCTACGGGAGTGCTTCCAGGGCAGAGCAACTTACCTTTTGCAGGATTTGTGTCCATTCTCTGAAGAGTGATCAAAGTAAGAGTTGATGCTGCAGCTCTGTACACACCTCCCCTCCTCCATGAAGTAACCATCTGTGCAGTTAATACACCCATTGGCGCCTGCCCCTGGAAAGCAAGACAGATGCAGAAAACAGATACCCAGTCTCAGGAAGGAAAGCCCCATGGACCTGTGTGGAAGCGGCATTACGATGTCATACTTTTAAGAACTGTCATATGGGTGCACTTAGAGACTTTGGAACAATTGTTCCTATTTAAAACTGAACCCGTTGACCCCTAATACCCAACCACTCTGGGAAGAGGAGGAGATGGAATTCAAGATCTCCCCAGAGGACAGAATGAGCGTGGCGGGCGTTGCTAAAGAGAAAGTGTGTGCCACGCAGAAAGCAAGGCTGTGTCTCCAGCATTTGCTTGGAAATTCAAGAGGGTTTATGGAAGTGGTGTTGAGAACCACACAGCCTGGCCACAGCAGGGTTGAAGAGCCTAGGGGAGCGGTACCAGCACAAGTGGCGCAGAACCGGTGACAGGGCTGGCACTCCTGTCCGTTGAAGAACCATCCATTCTCACAGGTGACGTGGCAGTGGGATCCCTGCAGGCTGAAGGCAGAGAGAGACTCAGGACCAAGGCTAGCGAGGCAGCGATACCACAGACGCATCGGATACAACCATGTCCCCCGACCGCCACCCCTGCTTCCAGCTCAGAGATTTGGCCATGTTTCAAAGAACGACAAACAGATCTTGTCCTCACGTTCCCCTCTTGTCCCTAGTACTTCTCTGTGGCTCTCACGATGCCTGCAGCACATACAAATGTGATAAGTTTGGGGACATTCCTAATGGTGTGGTGGACACACTCTTTCTCTGCTGGATGGTTTTTTTTTTTTTTAATTTTTACCAGTGAGACAACATGAGGTACAGTTGTAGACTTACAAATCTTCATGCTTGGGTTTCAATTATACAATGATCAAATACCCATCCCTCCACCAGTGCCCATTTCCCACCACCATGGATCCCAGTATCCCTCCCACCCCCCATCACCCCATCCCACCCTGCCTCTGTGGCAGGGCATTCCCTTTTGTTCTCTCTCTCCTTTTGGGTGCTGTGGTTTGCAAAAGAAAGACTGAGTGGCAATCATGTTTGGTCTATAGTCTACTTTCTCTGCTGGAGGTTTAAAAACCATATTTGTGGCAAAGTCTTTCCCTTGCCTGGTAATATGCTTGCCAATGCCTTCCTCTTCGGACAAGCAGCGTAGCATATTCAAAACTTGTTTTATTGCTTTGTCTTCATACACACAACCAAGGCCAGAGAGATAGGACAGTGGGGAGACAGCTTGTCTTGCATGAGGCTGACCTGAGTTCATCCCTGGCTCAAGATATGTTCTCCTGAGCCCACCAGGAGTGATCCTTGGGCAGAGCCAGGATAAATCCTGAGCACTGCTGGGTTTGGCCCCAAAACCGAAGGGGAAAATAAAACCCCCCAAACATAAACACAATCAGAACATAGTAAATGAAATCCCCTTTCAACCCCCAGCACGATTCCCAAGAGGAATCTCTCATTTTCAAGGCTTTCTGATGATCTTCCCTTGGTTCTCCAGCAGAATTCCAGTACACTGGATGCTCTGGGAACTGTGTGATGCTCAGGGTTAGCTCAGGCAGCTTCAACCATTGTGCTATCTCCTGAACCTGCCTATGCTTGGTACAGGGGTCACAGCAATTTTAATGAGCAAACCATATTGCTCTCCAAGCTCCTCAAAAAGTTTGGAATGAACAACCAGTAAACAGATAAAGAAAGAATCCTGAGCAGTTGTATACAAGTTCTAATCTCTTTTTTTCCAGTTTTCTAGGCACAACAATTGTTCTGTGGCTGATTCTAGTAAAATCTTTTCAGTTCTCTTGAGATCAGTGATCAACCTTAGCAGCCCTGAAGGGAAAGGCAGGGAGGGTCAAGAAGTGGAGTGCAGTGGCTGCATGCATGCGGCCGACCCAGGTTCGATTTCCAGCATCCCATATGGTTCCCTGAGCACCACCAGGAGTAATTCCTGAGTGCACGAGCGCACGAGCCAGGAAATAACCCCTGTGCATCACTGGGTGTGACCCAAAAAGCCAAAAAAAAAAAAAAAAAAAGGAAGCAGTGCAGAGGTGTGTCACACAGTGGCCAGTCTCCTGCCTCTACCAAGGTCAAAAGGAGCCCACAGCTCCTTTTCTCCAAAGCTGGAAAAAGGGGCATTGCAGCAAACAGATGCTTTGGTGGGAGGAAACAGGACACCCAAAACTCTTATCATAGGTGTTAAAGAGCCGCTCTGTTTTCTAACAAGGAACGTTCCTTCTGAGGTTGGCATCTAGTCAGCGGGAGACAGAGGCGGCTCTGTGTGAAGGACTAAGCGGGGCACACAACAAGCACAGTCACCCTCTGCTGCCTCTCGACTCCTGGGAACCCGGAAGCCCCGGCTGCCTCTAGGCTGGGATTGCAGAGACTCAGGAAGCAGCGAGTTCCACCCTTGCATCTGTCTGTGACATCCAAACACTGACCCGGGCAGGCCATGGGCCCAATGCTATGGTCGCCAAGAACTTGAGAGGTGGCCAGTGTGTTCAAGGGATGAAATTCAAAAGCTTATTGATCAACTTCAGTTTAAAAATTTAAAACTGGCACACTGTTCAGGAATTGTCTATGGGAAATGTACTACAGCAATATTCTGTAATGCCTAACAAGCATTTGTCATAAGTCAATGGAACTGAGACGAACCTTACTGGTGGTGTACACAACTGATTTTTTTCTTAGTATTAGTTTTTATTTTTACTGAATTAGCGTGAGATAAAGCATCACAAAGCTGTCTGTGATTGGTTTTCAGTCATACAATGTTCCAACACCCATCCCTCCAGCAGACATACACACCTAATTTCTAACACTGGATGACAACAAAAGGAATGCATTGCTTCATGTTGAAGTAATAATTAAAAAAACAGATATTTGGTTAAATTATTTTTAAATAAATTTCACTTGTATATTTACTTTTTCAAGGGGCTACTGACTTATTTGATTTTTTTAAATTGCTCTGTTTTATATTTTGGGTCACATCCAGTGTTGCTCAGGGGTTACTGCTGGCTCTGCACTAAGAAATTACACCTGATGGTGCTTGGGGGACTCTAATGGATGCTGGGAATCAACCATGTCAGTCATGGAGGAATTGGTCGGGATGGGAGATGTGTGCAGAAAGTAGATAAAGAACCAAACATGATGACCTCTCAGGGTCTGTACTGCAAACCATCATGCCCAAAAGTAGAGAGAGATTATGGGGGAATCGTGTCTGCCATGGAGGCAGGGGGAGGGTGGAAAAGGGGGGTTATACCGGGGATATTGGTGGTGGGGAATGTGCACTGGTGGAGGGATGGGTGTTTGATCATTGTGTGATTGTAACCCAAACATGAAAGCTTGTAACTATCTCATGGTTATTCAATAAAATTAAAACAACAAAAAAGTATAACATAAATGAGGTTTATTATAATTTCTTGGTGGTTTCGGGATTTGACTAAAACAATTTGACTAATTTCTATGTCTTAAGAGTCCCTTGCCAGGTATGAGCCGGGGGAGTGGGGGCAACTAAAACCTCATGGGAAGGGGGGCGTTTCGGTCCGCCCTTCACGCCCTACCGAGGCCACCAGTTGCCCCCCACTAGCGGCTCTCCAGCACGGCCACGACTCCAGAGCACAGAAACCAATTTCTTAACTATCTGACTTTCAGTATAAATACTTCCAGGGTCAATAAGTAAAACAGCAGAAATACAAAACCAACATTTAATTCTTGAACCCAGCTGTAGAAAGCAAATCACGTCACAATGCTTTTTCAGCATGTCTGATTTGGGGGGGGGGGTAAACTCTAAATAATAGTGGTGAATCTTTTATTGAAACAATGAATCTAATCTAAGCAGATAGAGTGTTAACTAGAATTCATCTGCCCCACAGGGACTGGGAGGGGTGGAGGTGGGGTTTTATTGGGGTTCTTCATGGTAAAAAAAAAGTATTGGTAAAGGGAAATGTGTTTGATATTTGCATGACTAAGACCTAAACCTGAAAGCTTTGTAACCTTTCCCACGGTGATTCAATAAATAAAAAAAAAAAAAGCCAAAAAAAAAAAGAGTCCCTTGCATGTCAATAAATTATATAAATATGAAGTTCAAAAAAAAAAACATGTCAGCCATGTGCAAGGCAAACACCCTACTTGCTGTGCTCTCACTTCTATTTTTGAAATAGAAGGTGCCCAATATTCTGGGACAATACCTGGTGATACTTAGCCTTGCCACCATGGCTACCCCCAGAGGTACTGCAGGGGTCAAGTTTGGGTCCTGGAACATGCAAGGCATGTGCTCCATCCTTTTGGCCTTTCTCCCAGAGTGGTGGCATATTTTAAATGCACAGATAGGAGCTAGAGATGAAGTCAGCAGAAGAGTACATGCATTTCATGTAAGGCCCTGGGTTTGATGCCCAGCTCTGCAAAAATTAAACTAAAAAAAAATATATATATATATATATAATTTTTTTCCTATTGGACAGTGTCGGTTCACTTTTATAAAATGTTCTCTTCAAAACAGAAACTCTTCCAGAGTCTTCTCAAGGAGACCATGTTTTGCAAATATGAGGGCAATCAATCCTTATCACAGTCCAGCATGTGGAGGGGCTGTGGCTTGACCAACCTCACACAGATAGTAACAGTGACAGAAGATTAGAGCCTGTATCTCCTTCCCCTATACCCAAGTGCTCCTTCTTCCAATCGACATACAGGGCTAATTACATCAATATTTGAGATAGAAAGTGTTAAGCAAACTAACAATGAATGAATTTATGGGGAAAAAAAATCACAGAGAAGAAATCAAAAGAGAAATGACTTCCTATACTGTTATTATTGTTATTTTGGTTTTTGGGCCACAGCCTGTGATACTCAGGGGTAATTCCTTGCACTGTACTCAGAAAGTCACTTCTGGTAGTGCTCAAGGAACCATATAGGATATAGGGAATTGAACCCAGGTCAGCTGCATGCAAGGCGAGTACTCTACCTGCTGTACTATTGCTCCAGCCCCCAATTTCCTCTATTATTGTGAAGAATACTATCTTAAATGAGCCTGATGTGCTTATTTGTCACCTTTGATCAAAAGTAGGATAAAGATGCAATCAATACGAAAGGACAAAGTGCAGCAGGATTCTAGATTTTTAAAATCCAGAGCCCAGTTCCTTGCTCAACAGAAGAGGTTCTGACCTTCCGTGGACTGCATGAGGCTACCTGGTTAATCTGAGCTACATTCTGCTCTCTTGCTGAGTATCAACTATCTGGCTTCAGCAATGAGCTGAAGCATCCATTGAAGAAAAACATCTCCAGGAGGGTATTTCACAGCATAATGGAATCAGGCCTGAGGTACTTAAGATAAGAGAATGATTGGCTATATGGAGAGAAGTAAAGATAAGGGAACAGTCTCCAAACATCAAAATAATGAATCAAGGGGATTAAATATAATTCACTGGTGTTACCCACACAGTAATCCTTGACTGACACTCTGCAGGTCAAAAAAGCAAGAAGAAAGCCTCTCAAATGGCAATTTTATTTATTTGTATCTGAGCCATCCTCTATGAAGGAAATTATATTTTGTGCATCAACCTTCCTTAGTCAAGATGACCTCCAATTTATCATATGGAAAGGGAAGGATAATGCAAACAGGAATCAAGTGTTTGTGAGTCAAACCAAGGATAGACAGAACAAGCGTTATTTATTTACATGTGTTTTTCTCCTTCAGTTTAGTGTATCAAGAAGTTCCTGGCACAGTGTTATGTTGTGAAACTCTCTGTTCTCTTACCTTAACCCATCTCTACATTCTGTGCAGTCGTGGAATTCAGTACATGTCTTGCAGTTTTCACTGCATTTCCGGCAAAGATTTTTCTCTGTTAAAAAAAAGAAAGTTACCAGGTTACAAACCACTAAGTCAACTGATCCATAAATGCACGTGGAGCTATTTTATTTATTTATTTATTTGTTTGTTTGTTTTTTCCTTTTTGGGTCACACCCAGTGATGCATAGGAGTTACTCCTGGCGGTGCTTGGGGGACCATATGGGATGCTAGGAATCGAACCTGGGTCGGCCACATGCAAGGCAAACGCTGTGCTATCGCTCTAGCCCCTGGAGATATTTTAAACATGGCTAATATATAATGATAGAACACTTGCATGTTCTTTTTTTTTTCTTTCTTTTCTTTTTTTTTTTTACAGTTGTAGATTTACAATTTTTTGTGCTTGGGTTTCGATTATACAATGATCAGATACCCATCCCTCCACCAGTGCCCATTTTCCACCACCATGGATAATATCCCCCCACCCCCCCCTGTCTCTGTGGCAGGGCAATCCCCTGTGTTCTCTCTCTCCTTTTGGGTGTTGTGGTCTGCAAAAGAGGCATTGAGTGGCAAACATGTTCAGTCCATAGTCTACTTTCGACATGCATCTCCCCTCCTGGGAGGATCCTCCAAACATCCTTTATTTGGTGCTCCCTTCTCTATCTGAACTGCCCTTTCCTCTAGGATACCCGGCTGGCCTCTAAGTTATGGAGTAATCGTCCTGGTGCTGATCTCAGCTATTCTTGGGTATTAATCTCATACTTTGTTACTTTATATCCCCCAGATGAATGCAATCTTTCTATGTCTATCCCTCTCTTTCTGACTCATTTCGCTTAGCATGATACTTTCCATGTTGTACCACTTGTATGTAAATTTCATGACTTCATCTTTTCTAACAGCTACATAGTACTCCATTGTGTAGATGTACCAAAGTTTCTTTAACCAGTCATCTGTTCTTGGGCATTCAGGTTTCTTCCAGTTTCTGGCTATTGTAAAGAGTGCCACTTGCATGTTCTTGAGCAAAAAAAAAAAAAAAAAAAAAAAAAAAAAAGTTCCACATTCAACATTGCTATCACCTCTAGCAAACCAACCAAATTCAGCGCCTAGGAATTATAGCAATGAGAAGTGCTATACATATATCTATTTTGCACACAATAAAATGGCAGCTCACTGAGTTCTTAATTGTGTGTGTAGTTTGACTTTTTCTAGTCCCATTTCTTCCTTCCAAGAAGGACTGAAACTTCTGATCCCAGAAAACCTGCCTGAGGCAGCACTCCTTTGTGAATGTGAAGAATCTGGAGGCTGTTGAAGGAGGTGGAATGGTCCTGCTCATCCTCAGTAGACTCACAGCTTTCAAGGCAGCTGTGATGTATTCCACTAGACAGCAGAATACCTAAATTAAAGGTAATCACAAATTTTTTTTTTGTCACACCCAGAGTTACTCAGAGTGTACTCCTAGCTCTGCACTGAGGGATCAAACCTGGTGGGACTAAGGGACCATCTGGGATGCCGAGAATTCAACTTGGGACAGGTGCATGTAAGGCAGTCACTATAATCCACGTACTATCTTTCTGGCCCCAGGACTGCAAACTAATGTACTTTATAGTTGTTACAGACATGACAGGAATTTATTTTGCAAATATCTACTCTAGAAGACAGAATGGAATTATAAACACGAATAGAGCCAAATGAAGCTTTAACTGGCTTCTCGTCCTCCTTACTCTCTTTAAATGGTGATTTTAAGATTTTACTAAGAATCTTCTGTCTCAAATCTGAGTCCTTAGGTATGAAATACATTTGTACCTTGAACAAAGTGGGAGGATTAGAGGTACGACCCCAGTGTGGTATAAAATCCACATACAGCTTAGTCTTCCATAGCCAATGTGTTCAACATGCAAACTATGTAATCTCCACCTGTGATAGTTGATTGTGCAACTGTGAAACCTGTAGCATAACATGGACCCATGAAGTTCTAACCCAGGTTTGTTCAAGGTTTTAGCATTGCACATGATCTCCCTCTTATGGTGTCACTGAGATTACTCAAAAACCTAGATTTAGGGGCTACAGCAATAGCACAGCAGGTAGGGTGTTTGTCTTGCATGTGGCCGACCCGGGTTTGATTCCCAGCATCCCATATGGTTCCCTGAGCACCGCCAGGGGTAATTCCTGAGTGAAGAGCCAGAAGTGACCCCTGAGCATCTGAGTGTGACCCAAAAAGCAAAAACCAAACAAACTAATAAACAAAAAACAAACAAACAAAACCCTAGATTTAACATTTCCAGGGAACAAGTCTTGAGGAATTGATGGAGCCATTCAAGAGAACACTATTAGCTCTAAAACACTGTGAATGTGTTGTCAGTAAGTTACCAGTCAGGATCATACATGATCACTGAGCTATAAGCCAGTTGCTGAATGAGAAAAGTGTAACAAGAGGTGATTACAGAATGGGTAGACTATTCATGTAAGCCAAGAAATTGCTGCTCAAATCCGATTCTTGATCTTCATCCTGTCACACAACATTCAAGACTGACTTTCTTTCCAAAAACTCAGTTTTCTTAACATTAAAAAAAAATCAAATTTGAAGTTTTTCTCTAAGTATTACTGTTTTTCTTTCTTTTCTTCTTTTGTTTTTGGGCTACACCTGGTGATGTAGCCAAGGTGATGCTCAAGGGTTACTCCTGGCTCTGTACTCAGGAATCACTCCTAATGGTGCTAAAGGAACCATATGGAATGTCTGGGATCAAATCTGGGTCCGCTACATGCAAGGCAAGGGCCCTACTGCAGTCCTATTGCTCTGACCCTGAGTTCATCTGTTTTCTTTTATGCCTCTTTTCACTTTCATATTCCCCATTAATTTCTAGTTCATGTCTGCTATTTTGGAGGAAAAGAAAATCCTTGCCCACTGAGATTCCATCTGAATAAAGAGAACTGTACTTAAGTGGAAAACCTCCAGAACCCAGCCTCAGCCACGCTCAAGGCCACTCTCCACATGCTCGGACGAGCGTCACGCCTGCAGAGGAACCCAGGTATGTGGGACCTGGGGCTGAGATCTCCAAGCCTGTTCAGATCAGGACTGGGCGTCCTCCACCCAGATTCCCCATTTTCCAGTAGCTTGGCAGTCACATCCACAAACTGCCCCCAGCGCCATGTAATCCCATCAAAAGCCAAAATCCAGAGACTATAAAACAAAGCTCCCGGAAGTGTATGGCCTCGAGTCTAGCCCACTAATACCTAAAGCAGCACACATGTTTGGTTTTAACCACTTGCTTATATTCTCTTACACACATTCTCCATCCCTCTCAGAGAGCCCGGCAAGTTACTGAGAGTATCCCACCTGCACAGCAGAACCTGGCAAGCTCCCTGTGGCATATTTGGTATGCCAAAACCAGTAACAATAACGGGTCTCATTCCCCTGACCCTGAAAGAGCCTCCAATACAGCAGCAATGGGAAAGAGGAGTAAGGAGAAGCTGCTAAAATCTCAGGGCTGGGACAAATGGAGATGTTACTGGAACCTACTCGAGCAATTCAATGAAAAACGGGATGACACTGATACAGTACTTAAGAAACAGGAGTGTCCAGAATCCTCAGTTTACTGTTAGTATTTTGGGGCCACCCCTGAGCAGAGCTCAGGGCCTCCATAATTCAGGGATCTGTTCTAAGAGATCACTCTTGGCAGTGTTTGGGACAATATGAGGTGCCAAGGATGGAACCAGAATCAGCTGCATGTAAGAGAAGTGCTTGTACCATTTAGGTTGATTTCTTTCTTTATTTTTTTAAATGTAAGTCTTATTCTTTGAAGCTTGCATAACACATCTTTGATGTGTCAGATGGCATAATGTGATGCCCATGTTAAGGCAACTGGTATAAACTTAGAAACAACGCAAGTTTCCAGTTGCCCATTACAGGGCAGTGAGTGTGAAACCATTCTCTAATGCAACTCCAGGTACCAAACTCCTGGAGGCTACATGTGTATTTTCAGATTTTTATTTGGTAAAGCTGAAAATGATTTGCGTTCATTTGAAAAAATAATACCCCAAATTCTAGTTTTAGGCCCAACTAGTCACTGTCACTGTCACTGTCCTCCCGTTGTTCATCGATTTGCTCGAGCGGGCCCAGTAACATCTCCATTGGAGACTTTGTTGTTACTGTGTTTGGCATATTGAATACGTCACGGGTAGCTTGCTTCTACCGCATTAAATGGACTTCATGACTTTCTCAGTGATTCCAGCACCTCAGAGTTTTTGATACTATCTGTCATTTTGTAGGTTCCTCATTAATGTGTAAGTCTTTGAATGTCGTATTATTTAGACTTTGAAAAGTGTCCTTTGATATCACATAGGTCTGGTTCCTTTGAGAGCCTACATAGGAGGTTGGCCCATGTCTAGCGTCTAGGAATTTGGGTTGAAGGAGGGCTGTTAGCTCTCTTTCCCCAGCTGGTAAGCGTGGCTTATGGTGCTTATACCATTAGTGCCATCCATATGACTAAGGGGAACCCCTGCATTCCTTCTAGAAGTCTCTGGGATTTGGTACAGGCTATGAAAGATGTCTTTTTGACCAGATACTGAGACAATCATAAAGCTGAGATTTTGATGGGGTCCTTGATCAGTTTTATTTTACTGGAAGAATTAAATGCATCTGGTGTGATACCATTAAGAGCAAACTAGTTGGAAGCTTGTGCTTAGTTGCTCCAGATTGTTCTCATATCTGCTTTCCCTCCATATCCTTTCATTGTACTTAATCATATCTCTGAGTACCACTAAGAAATAAATCTGTGTGTTCTCAAAAAACTGAGTCTAAGGAAGGGCTTGAGGAGCTCCTGACAGCTGACTTAAAACACATTTTTCAAAAAAAAAAATCTCAATTTTTCTGGTTTTATTTTATTTTTTTGGTGTGGTGTGTATGTGTTGTTGTTGTGCTATTAGATCCTGTTTGATGTGACGCATAGTTCACACTTCTTGGAGAAGAAATTCTCAAGTTCATTCAAATAAAAACCTTCCATTTCCTTTTGTAAACCTTGATCTTTGAGATTAACTCACTGGTGTCTTGATAGGATCCATCCGGGCAGTGGGTAACACAGCTGTTCGTTTCTTCATTTAGGAAGTAGCCATATTTACAGGCTAAGCACTGGTCACTGTGACTTCCAAAGCAAGACTCACAGTTGGGGGCACACTTTCTGCACCGCTTCTTGTCTGCATGGTAGTGACCCGGGGGACAGCTGGAGACACAAATCCTGTGTTGTGACATGACAAGAAAGAAGAGCAGAGTCACCCAGTGAAATAATTCTAAGCATTCCCTTTGAGGTATTGACTAAACAACTGTTTGCACTTCCAAGAATTTTTTAAACCATGAGGGGAACATCATGTCTAAGGGACAAAGTTCTGTTGGTTAAATTTTTTCCTGTGGAGGGAGTTAATGCAGTCACACAATAAAAATCCATTAAGTAAGTTATGTGTTGGTCTAAACTATCTTCCACTGATTTTGCGTAAAAAGGCTACTAATAATGAATTATTTATATTACTGTGTCTTGTTTGTCATATGTAACCTATGTGTGTGGTAGAGGTGGTGTAAATATATTTAAATAAATTTATGCTGCTTCTGACAAACTTAAAAAAATAACCTCTTGGTTTATATATAATTGAAGGGCAGGGTTTTATTTATGCACTCAACAAATATTTACTGGGTATCAATTAAGTGTCAGGCTTTTGGCTCAAGCTTAGAAGACAAAAGAAGTGTTCAGATAACCAAGGGTGTTTTGCTTAGGGAACGTGAATTCCTGCATGAATGTAAACAGAAGCTGGGATGTGTGTAGGTCTGGAGTGCATATTCATAAGTGAGTAAGTCAATCCTGAATGTCTACCTACGTGAGGTAGGAGACAGTGGCAGGGCTGGGACACACATGCCTGGGGAGGCAGAGACTCAGATGGCCATTCATTGTCCCACTGCCCTTCTGCATGGACACCTATCTGCACAGCACATGCGGTTCTTGGAGACAGAGGGTTTGAGGAGACCCAGCTCAATGCTCAGAGCGGGAGAGGGAGAATAAGCAGAAAGCAGAACCACAGTCAGCCACACTGGGAAACGCAGGAAAGCACGCACTGGAGCCCTGCAATAACACTTCCATGAAGGACAAATGCATTTGTGGCACCAATTGGCTATGGGATGGAAAGACTGCAGGGAGCGGGGCAGAGGAAGACCAGGCATGTGATAGCTAGTCTCCACAACCTGCATGAGAGAAGAGACACTGGCAAGGTTTTTGTTTGTTTTGTTCTTGTTTGGGGTCACACCCAGCAGTGCTCAGGGTTCTGTACTCAGGAATCATCCTGTCCGTGCTTGGTGGATCATATGGGATGCAGGGGATCGAATCCAGGCCAGCCGTGTGCAAGGTGAATGCACTACCCAGTGTCCTATCCTCCAGTCCCGACACTGGCTGCTTTACAGTGTGTATGTACCCTGGGGTTTCTGATCTGGTAAGACACAGCCTGCTTCCCTGGGGGTTCCCAGGACCAGGTTGCAGGGAACTTGATGGCCTAGACTCTTACCTGGTGTTGTTCTTCAGCTTGTAGTAGTAGTGGAGACAGTCATTGCAGTGTTCTGGCCCTGGCCCGTCACAGCCCACCTCGCTGCACTCGGGGTCACAGAGACCTTTCCGAAGGAAAACAGAAAAGCACTTGGAATAAAAACTATTTTATGGTTGGTCATTACTTGTGTATTCACAAATGACTTCTAAGAATCGTGTGGCTCTTTCTCACCACCTGCATTTGGAGATTTCAGGTCACTTCCCCACCCAAGACGGCTGATGCCAAGGGCGGACGAAGGAGGAAACGAGGGCCAGGTTGGTTGGTGATCAGTTGCTGTTTATTCCATTCTCCCTACACGCCTGTTCCAGTCTCACTAAACCCCCATTCCAGTCTCACACTGCCCCTCATTCCCGTCTCCTCCTGTCTTCCTTGTTGGTCGCTCCTCTAGGACTTGCCGCCTGGGTCTCTCTCTTGCCTCTCCCAACCTCCCAGCACGGGGGTAGCAAGCACACCTAGGTAGCACAATCAACATATCAAAGCCCTTCCTTATTGCCTGCAGCCAGAAGGGAGATCCAGCTCAAGGGCCAAGTATCACCTAGGGGTTTTTCTCCTTTCCTTAGTCCAATAACCGTTTAAAAATTCATCTTAATTCTACTTCTTAATATTAGTTATTTTTGTATGGACACAGTAAGAAATACATTAAACTTGTAGGGTGGCTCTCCTGGGGGCATCTTGCTATGGATCCCACTCTACAGTGCTCAGGCCAGATTAATCTTTCCTAACCCTAGCAGGGTCCTAATCTACTTGTTACTTTTTGGATCATGACAGAATTTGTCCATGAACATGCTCTTAATTTACAGTTAGGTATCATGGTGCTCTGGCCTGGCCCATTTCAATGCCAGGGTAGCTCACAGCTTGCCCTGGGTCCATCCAGTCCCTCCCTTGTCGGGACCCTGATTTTGGGGTGCTAGGAAGTAAGGGCAACTGAGGTTTAAGTCAGGAAAACAGATGCCCAGAAGTGAATATTATTCTAAGTCAATTAATTCCCAAGTTATAAAAGCATAGCATTAACTGTTTTCCTGTGTCTGTAAGACAAGGACATTGCTCTGAATTAACTATGCAAAGGACATAAGGAGAAGAGAAAAGCAATATTTACAAGTCAACAGAGTCTGATTAGGAGATAAAGGTGACTGACCCATTGGGGAAGCAGAGCACAAAGAAAGAAGTTACAGATAAACACAGAGGAATGGGAGTGCCTCTGTGGAGCACTGTGAATGGATGCAACCCAATAAACCTAAGCTCCCTGTGGCAAGGCAGAAAAGACAAACCAGTGTTATCCTACAACTATCCATTTTTGTTTGTAGGGCCACCTGGTGATGCTCAGGGCTTACTCCTGGCTCTATGCTCAGGAAGCACTCCTAACAGGATTTGAGGGGTCATATGCAGTGCAGGGGATCAAGCTTGGGCTGGTTGCCAACAAGGAAAATATCCTACCTGCTGTACTATTGCTTTTGCCTCTGGAGTCGACCATTTCAAAGTTTATTTCAGCTTGGTATAAAGTAAGATTTTCCCCACCCCTATGCAATTAGAGCTGAAGATGGAATAACAATATTTGATGTGGCCCTGAGCCCAGAGATAAACTCTTGACTTTCTTGAGGAAACCCTCAGTGACCTAAGTATCAGGAATGTAAATCCAAGTCACGGTTAGATCTTGAAACCACAAATGGCTGCCTTGTGGCCTATGAAAATATTTCAGAATTCAAATGAACAATGTCACCGTGACAACTGGGAAAAAAGGAATTAAATATGTCTAATGATAAAAATGTCAGATATTTAGAAAAATGAACAAGTTAAGCTGTTGACAGAAAAGTTAAAAAAGCAAAAAGGTCATGATTTACTCTCTGGCTGGGGATTTCCTACCTTGTCTGACATCATGAAAGCCACCGAATACCCCTGAGATATTATAGCTAGCAAGAAACATCGTTATGGCATCTGACACAAGCTTAATGGTTTCTAGTTCCGAATTACAAAGCAGGTACTTCAGGACAGATAAGGAATTTAAAATTGTATCTTACCCGTAAGGTCAAAAGGCAACTTAACAAAAGAAAACTACATATAAATTAGAAAAATCTGAGCAAGCTTAAAGAATTCCTAACCTGGGATGAAGGTTTTTTGTCTCTCTTGCTACCTATGCTTTGGTATAGAGCTAGAGACAATACACAGGCAGAAAATAAATACCACAAAGATGAAGCTATTTTGTGATTGATGAAAAAACTTACTACTGTCAAGGAATAGTGATATGAATTTTGCTGCCCTGAAGTCCTTTTTTTCCCTTATTCTCCATATTTAGGGAGATTTGGTTCCATAATCAGGCTGTTCTCATTGAAAATTCATATGATTTTAAATAAATAAGTTGCACAAAATAAACCAACACTAAGCTGGCTAGAAATCTCTTGAGCCATATTTATTTCAATCAAAAGCACCTAACTTGAACTTTGATCTCTTTTAGTCATTATAGGTTTATAATTAGCCAATCACAGAAACATAAGATGGTTGAACTTGAAATGAATGACTCTGAGAAAAATCTAGTAGTCAAACACCCTAATTTTACTAATGAGGAAACAAATTTTTTCCAAGAGTTACAATGATTTTTGCAGTATTAGCTATTGGCTAGGAGAGCTGAGATCCAATTACTCTAGTTCAGATGACCTTGTAGATAGTAAATCACATATCAGAGAAGATAACCTTTCTACCTGAGTCATTTAAGAGTCATTTAAGACTTGGGGAAAAAAGGTACATATAGATTTTTGGGTCACACTTAGATATGCTTAGTGAGTACTCCTGGCTCTGAGGTCAGGGAGTACTCCTGGCGATGCTCAGGATCCGTATATGGTGCTGGGTATCAAACCTGGTTGGCCAGTGTGCAACGTTACCTGCTGTACTACTTCAGTAAAAAATATAGTAAACTATATTTTTGATTAATCACAGGAGTCACTGGGCAATGTTGTTTATCTCCATTTCTCCTACAGTCTCTAGTCAGTCTCTAAATTCAATGCCACAGTCTGCCCATCTTGGGACATTCTCGTTGTCTACTCTGGTACTTAGAAGGGGATGTCTCTGTGGGTAAGAGTCAACATATATAGTCAATGGTGGTTTCTGAAATTCCTGGAATTTGAGTCAAGTGTGTAGGGATCTGGTTAGGATGGTATCATCTGTGCATCTTAGACAACCTGACTAAATGAAGGTGAGAATCAGTCCAAAGAAATGGAGTGATGGGTGGACCTAAATCTTTCCTCAGAGACTTCTGCAACGAAAATTCAAAAACCATTTAGTCTTTACGTGCCAGAGCTGAGAATGACAGTGCCCATGTTGTACCTTTTCTTTTATAATCTTAGACTCTCCTAGATGCAAAGTAGTATTTTAGGCTACTGACTAGCAGTGAAGTAATTCTTTTTGTTGTCTCTCATGTTCCTGGGTGGACATTGTAGAGATATATTAAGAAAAATCAAGAAGATATACAACTTTAAAAAAATTTTAATATTACCAAAATTCAAATTGGAAGCATATGAAAATATGTTACTATTATGCCTCATGCATGCTTCTGGATTTATGCACCTATCTAATAGGTTGGTAGTTAAAATATGAACCTTGAAAGAAATTCTAAAGGTAGCTCAATAGGTCTAAATGATTTCAGTTTATTACTCATTCTGGGATAACACCTACTGAAACAAAAGGAAGCACATATGTATATTTAAGATATTTTGTGAAGGTGAATAAGGCACTTTTAGTATCTAGAGAAAAATTTTCTGAGAACTTAGTTAAAAAGATATTTCATCTGGGGACCAGAGTGATATTTCAGCAAGTATGGCACTTGCCTTGCACAAGGTTGATCCGGGTTCAATCCCTGGCAACCCATATGGTTCCTTAAGCACAGCTAGGAGTGATTCCTGAGTACAGAGGCAGGAATGAGCCTTGAGTATTGCCAGTTGTGGCCCAAAAACAAAAACATAAAAATGAAAAACAAATCTCATCTAGAAGTACAATTAACTACTCAGAAACATCTTTCCATGAGAAAAAAAAATAAACACTTTGTTTGTGTTACACAGCATCTTCCCATAGAACTAACTGTTCCCTGAAAGAGGTATTGGGAAGGAGACATAAGACTTGCAAATGATTTGGCAACAATATTTAAATAACCCCAGAAAATGAACTATAAAAGATCTATGGAATTAATCCATTCCTGCCACCACATACTGTTCCGTGAGTACTGGTAGGAATGATGCCTGAGAGCAGAGCTAGAAGTAAGCCCTAAGCACTGCTGGGTGTGGTACTCAAACAAAAACAAAAAGATATACGGAATTAAACAAAGTGGCTAGATGTAAGACAGCCAGGCAGAATCCAACAAATTTCTTGGGGCCAGAGTGGGGACTGTCGTACCTCAGTGGGAGAGCACCTGCCTTTCATATGTGAGATCCTAGACACCACCAACACAAGCCAACAAATGCCAAAATATTTATAGAGATATCAGTACATACTAATTAAAAGTTATGGAACAGGGGGCCAGAGTGACAGTTGTGCAGGTCAAGTGTTTGCCTGGCATGTTGCCAGTGCAGGTTGACTCCCTGAAACAGATAGTCCCAGATAGTCCCCAGAACCTCACTAGGAGTGATCCCTGAGTGCAGAGGTAGGAGTAAGCCCTCGTTATCACTGAGCAAGACCCAGTAACTAAAATATAAACAAGATATGAAGCACTTTCCATTACAATAGCAATAAGACTGAAAATACTTAGGAATGATGCTACATTAAATAAAAAGATTTCAGTCACACCCATAAGCCACCCCTGGCTGATGCCAGGTAATCTTGTCATTGACCACCATCCAGGTCACATGTCCTTCCAATATGACGCTCACCATAACCATGCCTCCAGACCCCACACCAGGCTGTTTCACTTGGGGTACCACAGAGGGGGGCAGGTGAGACTTCTCCCTGCCCTAAGTGACTCAGTCCCTGCAGCTGAAAACCTGCAGAACTCAAATGCCACCCCGCTCATAGCCACGCTCCACGTGCTCAGGCTGAGCCTCACCCATGAGTGAACCTTTTCCTGGACACTTCATAGGACATACCCTAGTCCAAGAGTGCCAAACCACATTTGATGGGATTCAAAGTAGGAAGCAACCAACCTTAGAGGAAAATATTATTTCAGTTCTGCTTTGGGGCAGGGATTGGGGTTCGGGATGGAAACACCGGAAATATAGTGGTGGGACGGTGTAATGGTGGTAGGTTGGTGTTTGAATATCAACTATAATAAAATACTGTGAGCTACTTTGTAAAATAAAAAAAATTAAAAAATAGAAAGATTTCAGTAAAATGAGAGATGGCATATGGTTTCAACGGAAAGATGTACTTTGCAAAAAGAGTAAGAAGGTATCCAAATTTATATTAAACTTCTAGGAGATTTTAAACAGGGGACTTAAGAATTATTATGAAAATATGAAGCCAATGCCTAGCAAGTCCTAAATAGTTATAACTGTGTGGGAGCTTCAAGTTGAAGATTGATAAGTCAAATTTTGATTGATAAATCAGAGATGGTGGTATAAGAAAAACACCTGGTATACAAACTTACTGTATCATTAAGAAAAAAACATCATAAACTAAGAAGCCAATAAAAGGATGCTAACTCAGTCAGTGATGTTAGACTTCTTGGACAAGATTGAAAGATGGAACTCATTTCCACATTATATATCAGAAAACAAAATAAGTTCCAGGTGAATTAATGGCAAATATAAAACTCAGAGGTTAAAATATTTAGCTGACTTTTTGGTTTGTTTTGGGGCCATATCTGGTAGTGCTCAGACCTTACTCCCAACTGCTGCAGTTAGGGATAACTCCTGCCTGGTGTGGCTTGGCAGACCATATAGGGTGCCAGGGATCAAATCTGAGTAGATGCAAGGCAAGTGGCCTATCCATTGTACTATCTCTCCAGCCCCAATATTTAGCTGATTTAAAAGGATTTCTAAACTTCTACAGAAAAATTACAAATGCTGTATCTGAAACTAAAAACTTCTATCCTCCAATTTTCTTTTCTGTCAAAACAATATAACCTCCACACACATATATTATATTTCAGAACTAAGTGATAGTTACAGAAATGTTTTCAGCAAATGACACAACAACAAAGAGTTTTCAAAGATAAGCACATTTTTGCCACTTGGAACAGGAGAATGGGTAAAAGAATTGAATTTACTTTGGAGAAGAACTACAGAGGAAAACCCGTTTAGATTTACCAATTAGAGTTATAAAGCATTTGAAAGTTTCCTTTATTTTGTCGTATTTCTTATTTTCTTCCCATGCACTGTGACCAGAAATGAGTGCAACACACACTCACACAGATGCTCGCAGTGCATACTGCCATGATCTGGAGAGCAGTTTGATAAAACGTATCCAAATCCTAAAACTGATTATTCTTTTTGATCTACAGCTAGAACAAAACTTTAAGAAACATATCAAGATGGATAATGATGTTCCTCCAAAGCTAGGGTAAAACTATTTCCTTGGTTGTATATTTACTATATTATAGTAATTTTGTTGGAGGGAGTCTCATACTGACTCCAAAGTGTGTTCTCCAAAGGATCTTTGACAAGAGGGAAGTAAGCTAATATCCTTTCTGAAAATAAAGGTTATGAAAAAATACAGTATAATTTTGTATAAAGAGGATAGAAAAGGGGTCATAAACTAAGGATATCAGTAGATGCTATCTCTGCACAGTAAGATCACACAAGAACCTTTTCCTTAGCATGGGTCCCTGTGAGGGAGGAGCTTACCCGCGTACTCCTCTGTCCCATAATCATCTGTAGGGTCCTCTACTCTGCTGTAGCGGGAACGCTCCACTTTGGGGAATTCGTTGGTTGGTGAGTATGGCTGTACAGAGGTGCCGTAGAGGACTAAAGACCACTCTTTCAATTTACCTGGGGAAACAGTAATGAAACCAATGCATGGCCATTCACCCTTTAGTTTCATAGTTTATTTTATGATTCTATACTTAATTCCTTCTCACCTAAGAAAAAGCAACAGAATTCTGGAAGGCAGATTCATATGGACTGCTGCATCAAATCTAGTACTCAGAGTGCACATTTTCCATACTGGCAGAATTGACCTTGTAATGCATTCATACCCCCAGTATTTCTTTTACCCATCTCTCCACCAGTGCCACCACGGATCCCAGTATCCCTCCCACCCCGCATCCCCCCATCCCACCCTGCCTCTGTGGCAGGTTTTTTCTTATTTGACTCACGCACTCTACAGGGCTGCATCTGGGTCACCTGAGCTACTACAAAAGCTGCCTGACCTCCCACCCCACAATGCATTGGTCTTTCCCCCTAGTTCACTTTAAAAACAAGGTTCAGATGGTAGCTCATTTAGAAACAGGGTCTGGGACTACCTGATAATGATTTGAAAATGGTAATTTCTGCTCTGCATCTCAAGAAACATTTTCTTTTCCTTAGCTCCCTGTGACGTACTCGATATGCCAAACACAGTAACAATAAGTCTCACAATGGAGATGTTGCTGGGCCCGCTCGAGCAAATCGATGAACAATGGGAGGACAGTGCAGTGCAGTGCTAGTTAGTGGGCTCAAAGGACATCTGAGAACTAACATTCATTGTTATTCTTTTTTTCCTCTCAAGGCAACCAAGTTAGCAGAGAGAGTTGCAGATCACTGTCTGGACTGTGCTAAAAATTAATTTTTGCGTGAACTAAGGAAACATATAATAAGAAAATCCATCGATTCAGCCAATACAAGTGAATGGGCCGGTTAATTTGGGGAAGCAGGTTGGAGAAGTGGGTCATATATTCTAAAGTGTTAAGTAAAGGTTCACATTTTATCCTGCACTAATTTCTAAGTATTCTTTAATCACTAAACTATTACTTTTCAAGTGGTAATCTCGAGAACTGGAAATCACGCAGGCAACTCTAAACACCAACACATGACAAGAGATGTCCCAGTGTGACAGTCACAGTGTCACAGCGCTCACCTGGAGTCTTGAAGTTCCTCAGCTGAGATGGGGTATCATATACTTCCAGGACCCAGTCACCCGCAGCTCGCTCTCCCCAGCAGTGAATGGTCATGAACTCCCAGTTCTTAAAACCTTCCATAGAATGATCAAAAAGTCTGTGGGGAGAAAAAAGAAACAGAAAGCATTATTGCACGTGTTCTGTAAGATACGGTGATAAGCATGCTTATCTCTATCTACCAACATATTTGGTCCCAAATGGGAAGTTGTTTTCATCTGGACATTACCAAATGGTTGATCCAAATATATATCATTATCCTGCTGGAGGGAAGTTGGCAGCAGGTTGGCGTGCAACAGCAGATATGGAAGAGCCGATCATTTTGGGCATCAGAGAAACTAAGACTCCACCCACAACATGAAAAATACCAAATGGTGAGAGTGTGGAGCAAGTGAGACTCTGACAGAGCTGGTGGGAAGAAAAATGGCATAATGGCTTGGAATACAGTTGGCAGTGTCCATACAACTGTCATAAATTCCAGAATCTCTCTCCTTGATATTATAGAGAAAATGGAGATCCACACAAAGAATCCCATACATAGATCAGCTATATTCATATATAAAACATTTATAACAATCCACATATAGCCCTCAACTGGTGAATGGAGAAGCAAGTCATGGCATATTTATATAATTCATTCATTCATTCATCATCCTGTTATTCGTCGATTGCCTCGAGCAGGCCCCAGTAACGTCTCTTTCATCCTAGCCCTGAGATTATATTCAAGGCTCTTTAGGAGAATGAGACCCATCAATGTTACTGGTATTTGGCATATTTGGTGCGCCACGGGGAGTTTGCCAGACTCTGCCCTGTGGGCAGGCTACATTCGATAGCCTGCAAGTTTGTCCAAAGTAGGAATGAGATATTTATATAATATACCATATGTAATATATAATAATATAATTTATATGGTATATTATATAAAATATATAATACTACCTAATAATAAATGATTCCTGCACAGTACTTCATTGCAATGCATATAAATTATGACTCAGTGCTCTACCACCAAACCCCAATCCCAGCCCTGAGTTTTCAAATCCAGTTCTGGTAGCTGTGCTTGCAATTCTAGCCTAGATTCTACTTCTCAGGTCCTTTCAATGACTAAGTTTCCAAAACCCTACCAGAAATCTTTTTCCCTGAAGTCGAATTATTTTCATTTTGTATACTGTCATTCTGAGAGATACAAAATATGAAGAGACATAAGGAATCAGAGTCTTCATTAAAAATAAAGAGATGTCAACAGAAAATGCAAGAAACAAGAATACAAAGGCAAAGGTAACCGTCCTGGAGACACATTTGGGGACTCAGTACTGATAGCAAGGGAAATCCAAACAGAATTGAGCAATTGTGATCACATCAAGCTAACAAACTCTATGAGGGAAAAGAAACTCATCAAGCTGAAAAGAGATTTTTGACATAGAAAAACATATCTGCATATCATATACTGCATAGAGAGTTTAATAGCCAATTTAGAGCCAACATGAGGAAGAACTCATTCAATAATACAAAACCAAACCTGATTAAGAAACAGGCCACCCCCTCCCAAAAATCACACTAGAATGGGCAACATGAAAAGATGATCAACATTTTTTTCCCCTGGGGCACATACGATCATGCTCAGGGCTGATTTCTGGCTCTATGCTCATGAATCACTTCTGGAGAGTTTGAAGGACCATGCGTGGTCTCTGGGATGGAATCCTGATTGGCTGTATGCAAAGTACTACCCACCCTAGTATCTCTTCTGCCCCCCAGTAAACATCTTTTATCTCAAAACTGATAACAGAAAGTATCATGTTAAGCGAAATGAGTCAGAAAGAGCGGGATAGACACAGAAAGATTGCATTCATCTGGGGAACATAAAGCAACAAAAAGGGAGAGTAACACCCAGGAATGGCTGAGATTAGTACCAGGAATTTTGCTCCATGAATGGAAGGCCAGCCACAGGCTCTAGGTGAAAAGGAAGCTCAGATAGAGAAGAGAGTACCAAATGAAGGGTGTTGTGAGAGTCCTCCCAGGGTGGGAGAAGCATGCTAAAAGTAGTCGATAGACCAAACATGATTGCCACTCAAAGCCTCTCTTGCAAAACACAGTACCCAGAAGAAGAAAGAGAGAACAAGGGGGAATACCCTGCCACAGAGGCAGGATGGGACGGGGGGGGGGGGGGGATGAGGGGGGGGGATGCTGGGACCCATGGGGATGGATGACGGGCACTGGTGGAGGGATGGGCACTTGATCATTGTATAACTGAAACCCAAGCACAAAATTTGTAAGCCTATAACTGTACCTCATGGTTTTTCACTAATAAAAAAAGAAAACAAAACAAAACAAAAAAAAACTGATAACAGATACGTCCTCATACTTGTGAAAAGGACTTGTATCTGAAAGATAAGTGATAAATATTGGAGAGAAGGTGGGAAAATGGAATCTTGTACACCATTAGCGGGAATATAAATCTATGTAGTCATTATGAAAAGCACCCTAGAGGGTCCTCAAACTATTAAAAATGGAAACTTCATCAATCCAATTCTATCAATTCTAGGTAGTCACCTGAAAAATATAGAAAGATTAATTGAGAATCACCCCCTTCTTTAATTTTTCCAGTGGCAGGGATTAAACTTGGGGCTCACACATGCACCAGCATGTGTATTACACCATTACTTATAATAACCAAGTGCTGGACACATACCCAGTGCCCATGCAAAACCAAATGAATAAAGATGTGCTGTACAGAAAGCTATAAAGATGAAAAAATATTGCCTTTGCAACAACACAGTTGGACTGAGGGGATTATAGAGAAGTAAGAGAAAGTTCAACATTGTGTCATTTCCCTTATTTGCTTTCCTTATACCTAGAGAAAGAAAGAAAATGGATGGACTAAGTCTAATAAAAATGGAGTTTCTATAAGACAAGTTAGTGGTTTGAAGAAAAACAGGGAAAAGGATGAGTTAATATCGGCAAAATATCAGCAATCTTATGGTGAAGGATAGAATTAGACTCCCAGTGAAGAGTTTATTATAGTTATATATACTTTGTTGTGTATATTTATATTTCATAAAGCGTACTTTGTTTATACCGTATATACTTATTCTACACATATCTGTATACAGACATGGATTTATAATGATGTACACCTGAGATATACATATATATTATCATATAATGCTATAAACTGATGCTACTTCAATAAAAAATAATAATTTATGAAGGCATATAATATGGATTGATTGTGGAAGGAAATCTTTAAATGACTTCTGTGGCAATGAACTGTGAAAGATAGGGCAAAACACAGGTTTTTAAACAAGTTTTCTTTTCAAATTATATGCATTTTTTTAAAAATTGAAAACAAGGAACACAAGGAAAGAAACTCGAGCAAGCAGCTAGAGAGAGAAATAGAGGGAAATACCTCAGCACTAACTTAGGAGCTATCGTGCCTGGCTGACAGGAAATAGCTGACCAAGAAGGTCCTGGCATCTGACTTCTGAGAGCTAATGCTGAGACCATGCAGTCAACCTCCTGGCCTTACGCTCCTGTTGACCAAGAAAACTGGTGTTTGCTATTTGACCTGCAACATGCCCCTGTAAAACAAGTCAGGGGCTGTAGACAAAGTGTAGTGGACTGTTGGAATATAGCTCCAAATATTTTAGGCTTCACATTGGTTTGCCCTTTTTTCCCCCTTGCCACGAGAAACTAAGGTTTATTACAGTGCTCCTGAGGCACTTCCATTCCATTGTGTTTATCTGTAAACTCTTCCCTATGCTCTCCTCCCCAACCAGTTAATCAGCTTTCCCCCTAATCAGAATCTGTTAATTATTTGTAAGGTCAGATCCTTCTAGGACACTGAACTTGTATTGTAAGTTAATAGTGTCTTTCTCCTCTCCTTATGTCTTTTGAATAGTTTACTTTAAAGCAATGCCCTTTTTGTATAGATAAAGGAAAACTGTTAATATTATGCTTTGTAACTTAGGACTTAATTGGCTTTGAATATTATTCACTCCCGGGCATCTGCTTTCTTGACTTAAGCCTCAGTTGCCCTTGGTTCCTAGCACTCCAAAAACAGGGTCCCGACGAGGGACTGAATGGACCCAGGGCAAGTGGTGAGCTACCCTGGCATCGAAATGGGCCAGGCCAAAGTGCCACAATTCTTAACTATAAGAGCTTGATCACAGACAAATGCTGTCATGATCCAAAAGCAATGATGAGACCAGGACCCTGCTAGGGATAAGAAAGACTGTCTGGCCTGAGCACTGTAGTCTGAGATTGAGATGGCCCTAGGAGAGCAATTCTATAAATTTAAGGGATTTCTTACTGTATCCATACAAAATGATTTATATTATATATGCTTATATGTTCGTTGGACAAGGAGATGAGAAATGCACTCAGGGGATTCCACTCTAGGGTGGGTTGATCTGAAAATGATAACCTGTCCTAGAAGCGGCTTTCCCCAAGGGAAAGAATTCTACCCCTATTGATTGTGACCACATCTATGTGTAATTATTACCACAATCCCTCATGCTGGGGGATATAATGAGACTGGAAGAAGGGGCAGGGAAAGGCAGAGGACAGAGACAGGAGTGGATGGACAGAGGATTGGAATAAACTGCAACTAAGACCAACCAGGCCCTCGTTCCTTCCCTTGCCTGCCTATTGCCATGGTCCTCCCTGGGGTGGGGGAAGCAGCGTGAGACTACCGAACATAGGCAGTGGGAGAGATAGAGCCGGCGCAGCTGCTGTCTTTTTTGAGTTTGTAGGATAACACTCTTTTGTCCTTCCTCAGGTAGCTTAGGTTTGTCAGGTCATACCCATCTAAGGACACTGAACTTGTATTGTAAGCAATGTCCTTTCTGTGTGGACACAGGAAGACAGTTAATATTATGCTTTGTAACTTGGGAGTTGATTGACTCCGAATAATATTTACTCCTGGGCATCTGCTTTCTTGACTCAGTTGCCCTTAGTTCCTAGCACCCCAAAAGCAGGGTCCCGACGAGGGACTGAATGGACCCAAGGCAAGCAGTGAGCTACCCTGGCATCGAAATGGGCCAGGCCAAACAGCCACGATACTCAACTATAAGTTGAGGGCATGATCATGGACAAATGCTG